TGTGAGTTTAATTTTTTAAATTTTGAAAACCAAGGCAGAGGAAATTTTCCATAGCACTGTTTTCAAACATTAAGCTCTTCAACAAAGAGGAAAGTTAAGCCTGCTGTTCTAGCAGCAAAGAAACAGAGCTGAGGGTAGACAGTTAATTTTCAAGCTACAGTTGAAAGACTATTTACAGTTAATATGCTGTGACCAATGATGGTGTAGGACCTGACTAACCACTCAGGAGTCAAGTCTTGATATTTATATTAATTTTTTTGTCACTTACTATCACTACTGCTCATTTTTAAAATTTAGGAAACCTGGATGTTCTGCTCCCCTCAAACTATATTCTTACCATCCGACCTTTTTGTAAAATTGAAAATTTTGCAGCTGAGAAGCCAACTTAAAAGTCTACAAGCCATATTACAGGTTGGAAAAAAGAGATTCACAAATCATAAATTGAAGACAAGCAAGTACCACCACCGCCAACCTTTAAGATGCATTCAGTGCTCACGCTACATAAAGAACACGGCTACTGCTGCTTATCCTCACGGTGACCTCGAAAGGATGTTGCTTGTTTATTTTACAAGTTAAGGGATGAGTGCGGGAGGGTCAGAGGTCACACGAGGTAAAGGGTGGAGGCAGTACTCAACTGAGCTTTTGTAACAGAAAGGAAGACATCTGACTCCACATTAGACCTGTTCCTTTGGCTCTAACCCTGGGCTCTGCTTCCTGGGCTCAGTCATGCTGGTCCTTCACCTTTTGTAAAAGAATGTTGCCTAGAGCCTGAAACAGACAGGAGAGCCCATCCTCAAGGCTCTGACCTTTAAGGGTGTAACACTTTTCCATTCATATAGAGATAAAAAGTTGCAGAACAGAGAATAGCATTTGTCTTGTTAGAGGTTTACAGGGACACCATGAGCTGACCCACGTGGACAGCTGCGGGAACAGGTAATTCCTACACCAAGAAGTCTGCAACAACCAACCACACCCTTTCCCTTTTATTGTAAAAGGAGCCTGAATTCTGACCTGGGGAAGATGGTTCTCCAGGACAGGTGTCCCCCATCTTCTCGGTCTAGCGGCTTTCCAAGTAGAGTGGTTTGTCCTTGCCCCACAGCCCGTGTCCTGACCTACTGGCCTGTCATGGGGCCAGTGGAACAAGCTTGGACCCGGCAACACTTTACGGCTTCACAAAGGGCTCGGCTAAGCTCCCCTGTGCCACAACTCACAGGATGTGAAGTGAAGTGCTCTGCTACATACGTAATTTCTCGAAGACTGCAGGGCTAGCCTCCTTTCTGGATTCCCACCCTGCCTCTCTCTCCCAAGTCTGCTGTGTGGAAGGATTACCTCTCAAACCCCTTACAAGCACAGACTCTGTCCTTGAAAAAGGGCTGGACCGAGCTGCGGAGGGTGGCCTGTGCAGAACTGCACCGCCGGGGCCTGCTGGCCTGCGGTATCTGATGCTGGGGCGCTGCCCTGGTGCCAACTGAACACTAATTCCCACCTGGAGTGCACGGGCCATCTACTGAACCCAAAGATGCAGAGGCCCACGTAACTTCGGTGTTGGGATGTTCAGCGGTTGTGTTGTAACAGAATTTGCAGCAGAAGTAAACGTTCAACATTTTTTGGCCAATGTCTTGGCCTTTGCATACGACAAACAAACAAACAAAAACAAACATTTCTAGGGATGAGCTTAGAAATCTGGAACAAGAATTAAAACTTACATTACTTTTTTTTTTTTTTGCTTAAAGTCAATTCTCTTATTCTATTAGAATAATCTGAACATGACTGGTGCGAAAAATACATATACACTAAGTCTCTTCAACTTTATATCTGACTGTTTCCTATTTAAAAGAAAACAAGAAGGCGTCTTCCAACCTTGTCCCTGAGGCTCGGGTCGTTAAACCACTCCAGTAACTTTTTGCCCACTTCCATTGGGCTGGAGAGGAAAGTCCTGTAGGTCAGGAGGAAGTCTTCTATGAACGTCGGGTCCACCACCGAATGCTCTTCCACCAAGTGCATCGTCAGTCTTTCTGAGGTGCCCTGTAACAGATCAAAGCTTTGGTCACCATCCTGCGCGAACGGCATCTATTCCGTATGATTTCATATCTTCAATATGAGATGAATGGCATCGTGATACATCTAATAATGAGTAACACTCAGGTAAGACAAAGATTTATTACAATTGATAACATTTAAGAGAAGTTATGCATAAAAATGGGGTGGGGAGCCATTTCAAACTGCCATAACCAATACTACCAAACCCTCCCTCCCCTGGTGGGGGGAGGTGTGGTGTCCTACCTTGATGACGATGTGTCCCTTCCTCGTCCCAGTGCGATCAAGCTCCCGGTGTTCTTTGACCATGACAATTTCTCCTTCCTCTTCAACTTTCTGCATATTCTTTTCTACCTGGTTGAGAATGCGGCAGTAATCTTGCTGGGCTATGCAGACAAACTGGAACAGAACAGAAGCCCCATGTTAATGATAAAGTGCTCGCAGGAGACCGAGCGGTACTGATAATTCAGTGTGTTAATTATTTAACGCTGACATTTTTCCATGTCTTTTCCATACTTTCTAAATGAGGGCAGTAATGAACCTTAATCAGACTTCTCTACTTTTTCATCTATTTCTTCCTCGGTCAAGAAAAGTTTCATTTTTAGAATATTTATATGTAGTTTATATTAAAAATCCTAACAATTAAAAAAATCAGAGGATAAAATTAGGAGAGTACTTTCTCAGGCCCCTTCTTTACAATGGGGGAGGTGGGTGGGCTTCAGGACACAGATACAAACAAAATGATCATTTAGTGGGTTTTTTACATTTGAAAAGATTTTGAAAACAACAGTTTTAAAATAAAGATGGTTTTAATAAAAGACATTGAAATTCAAAGATACCTATGCAGTAGAAAATGGTAAATTTGCTAATTATATTGATAAAAATTATTTTATCAAGTCTGTTCAAAAGGTCCACAAAACAAGCCACACATTGATAAAACTCAAATCCCTACTCCTTATAACTAGTGTCAAGATTAATTCTTCCTCTCAAAAGAAAGTTAACAAAAATATGCACATTAAGCAACTTCTCCTCCATAACCCCAAATGTAAAAAATTTCAGGGCTCAGGGCAAACTATTTAATTATATTTCTTAGTAGTTTTAAAGAAGTTAAGAATGAATTTTAGAAATCACTTATTACACAAATTAACCAGAGGCCAGTGAGGAGACAAGAATAGAAAGTAAATAAAAAGTATTGTCTTCTCTGAGTTTTGAATAATTTATTCTTATTCGAAGAAACCATTTAGGAATAAAGAAAGGCTGCACATTTCTTTTTCTCCTTTACAGTGAAAAGATGAAAGCAGGGAATGGTTAAGTCACAGTGTGGATAAGATAAACGATGCTACAGCCGTCTAAAATTGTATTTTCCTAGGACAGTCAGAGTTCCGGTTCCATGTTCATGATATTCCTTAATCTTTTTAAAGATGCAAAACCAAATGCTGTGATAATGATGTAAATGACAGTGATGACATCACACCGGTAGCCTTACAGCGCTTTCCCACTTCACCCTCCCCATCATCACGTGAGGAAGGCACCACCACTACCCCCACTGTAAGGTGGGGAAACAGCTGCACTACGGGGTGCTGATCTGCCCAACGTCTCACAGCTACATGCTTGCTACTTAAAAAAAATTACACATGCGTATCAAAATCTCGGTATATAACAAAATGTTAATAATTATTTCTGAGCAATGCAAACTACAAGCGGCTTTTGTTGTTTAAGATGCTTTTCTGTATTTTCTATACTTTCTGCAAAATCAATAAAGCTTTTTTTTTTAACAGAAGTAGCAGCAGCGGTTCACACTCAAGAAATGGCATAGTAGGATATTAAATTTCTTCCACTAAGTTGGTTGATGTATAATCTCACTAATTTTTCTATTAAGGGTTTAGAATCAAAAATTAAAATTCAAAAAACATAGGCTTTTCTACTAAGTAATTATGGATAGCTAAATTTTTTAATGCCTTAAAAAAAAACCCAAGCTCATATCCGTAACACTGACCACAAGTGTATATATGTTTGAAATATGTGGTCCTTAGTTTCTTGTCCCCCGAAATTTTTTTCTTCTTTTTATAGGGAAACAAAACTGTTTCTCAGGCCTCCAAATAATTTTAGGTGTTCTTTCTTATACTTGGTTTCAGAGAATATAATTATATCATTTTCTCATTTATCTAAAAAAGAAATACACCCCTGAGTTAAAACAAGTAGGCAGATAGATAAAAACATGCTTTTTAAAGAGAAAGGTATGAAAATTAACCTTCTTGACTAAGGACTTAAAGAAATTAGAGTAAGTTTGACTTGAAATGGTTAATGTCTAGAAAGACATTTCTGGTATTTCTCCTGCAGCAAAATGAAATCTCATTTAAAAAGGAAAGAAAAAAAAAATCCCAGACTGAATTTCTGATAGGGCCATACAGAACCGGTATCTCAAAAAAAATACATTTTAGATGACAACATTTATCTATTTTTATTAGCAGATTTATTTTTGCTTGAAGAAGTTTATAGATATAACATGAAATTTATAGGTAAAATATAATTTTAACTGGCGTGATTAAGCTAGTTGAAAATTTGTGAGTTGCATATGTAATTGTTTTAGTGAGGCCTTATCCTTTCGGACAGCCGTGGAAGTACTGTACGGGCTTGGCCCTCTGATATGAAATGAAAATTCAACCAAGATTCCACTTACAGAAGGTCAAAAGCAATTTACGTCACAGGGTGATTTTCTTCTGGGCATGTGACCTCACCATTTATAGTTAGTAAAAATATGAAAAACGATAAAAGAATGAAGTAATACTAAACATCAAGCAACAGAGAGAACAGTCAACTTCCCAAATGTCCATGCAACTGCTTTTGCCTCCAAGACTTCTTTAAAATTCAAAGCATCGTTAGCTCCACGGTCTCAGGAAGAGCTGAGTGTAAGAGACGCACCATACGAGGTGGGATCTGCTTACTCTGCGGTCTGTAAGAAGTTCACAGCCAACTGCTTACACAGGGGTCCGGGGGTTCATCACCCCCTGCAGGGTGCGGGGCAGGGCTAAGCCAGACCTGGGGGTCACCGGGAGGCCTAGGACATTCTGTCCGCTTCATTCAGTAACTGTTGACTGACTGCCGTGTGCTCAGTGGAAGGACAGACACTCATGGAGAGGGTTTCGTGGATGAATAAAAATACGATGCCTCGTTTCCTTTACTTCCCCCAACAAGAGGAGGACCTGACAGGTGCACTTTCTGGCAAATAAACGACATTATAACAGAAATACACTAAAATCTGACCCCAAATAAGCATTTGCATTAAAATCTCTAAAGTCGCTCTCCATTCCTGTTCTGAGTGGAGGGGCAGATGGGTCGGTGGGAGAAGGAGTAGTTGCTGAAAGGCCTGATTTCGTGTGCCCTCCCAGCGTGCGGGGCGGACTGCAGGGGGGAAAGGCGTCCTCCAGCAGACGCTGCGCCCTGGACCCCATGTCCGCCTGGGTCTCACATCAAGAGCGGTGGGAGCCTAACACTATCTTGATGGGAGCCTTCCTTTTCAACTGAGAGTTTTCTCCGGGAGTCTACGTTGCTATCACCCTGGATTTCCCACTGATTCCTCATCCGGAAATAGATGAACTCTCTGCCTAACATCTGCCTCCTCCTCCTTTCCCAGAACTCACAGATAAATATTCAGTCTTACCTGGGACATCTGACACTACTTAAGTACTCTGCAATGTTACGTCGTGTAATATTTTTATCAAGTATTCTGAAACATTTCTATGCCTCCCGTGTCATTTCTGTTTCACGATTATGAAATTTCTAACAAGGAGGGTTGGCCAATTAAGGGTGGTAGCTGAATTCTCTGAAATAAAATAACCATTACTCGCCCTTTAAGGACACACTGACTCAAATGCCCTGTTGAGCCTGACTTGTAGGAGGGCTCAGGGAGGAGCTGAGAAGAGACAGTGGGGTGGGGAAATCTTCAACAATTTTCTAGTTCGTTTTGACTCAGCTTGGCTTCTTTTTTTTTTTTTTTTTGGTAGTATAATTCTCAAGCTGAAATATCACATATGACCCCTTTTAAATACACATTCTGAGGCCGAGTAAAGACCTGGAGATTTACCTATCATTTTCTTTCCCTCTATTATGCCAAGCAATTGGGAGCTGACTCTGTTTAGAATGCCTTTCTGGCATGACATACTCACAACACTGAATTCATGGCCACTTTTCTCTCTGTGGAGCTCACTGAAGGAGTCACTGAGCACAATTATTCTCTAGGTAAGATGATTTTATTTATAGCCATGGTCGTTTATCTTTTTAGTAAGCAAAATGCTCAGAATGAAAATTTAAATGAACACTGTTTTACATTTATCAGACATTATAAAGTCAATGATGGTCTTTTAGAATAAACTATATTCTGATGTATTTCAGACAGTAGACTAATAAATACAGTGAGCACTTAACATTAATTAGTCTAAGTGACATCTTTTGGCTTATTTATATTAAAATATTTTATCTTTCAAGGGCAAATTTTTTCAGAAGACATAAATCATAAATACTGAATGGTAATAAAAGCACTCAAATTTATTTTACACTAATATGGAGGTTACCAGTTGTAGCAATCTAATTAAATTTCACATTTGGCCTCACTATTATTTCTAGGCTTTTATTGAATGCTTTTAAATAATGAATATTAACATAATATCAATACTGCCATTTTTCTTTTCATTAGCAGTATTTTTTTCACTAGCAAGTCTTTCTACTGATTCATGCTATGATTAATTTTCATGACTTCTAAAATCAATTCCTTATCTTGTATGTATTTAAATAAAAACACTGCATAACTGTTTCACATCATCTTTACTCATCTACATATAATTTCTTTTCATAATGGGCATTTTACTTTTACATTTTTTGTTGAATAGATGATCAATTATTATTGATGCAAATTTTAAAATAACATATTTATAGAACATCTTTTTTAATAGAACACATTTATAAAACGCTTACTTTCTTGGAGTTTGAATAATTTTAAGGGAGATTTATTTTTAATTTTCTAAAGCATGGTAATGCTAAAAGCAATAGTCCTATTTTAAAATCACCTTTATAAATCTAGAAGATGACCTGCTCATACAGGCAGAAAAACCTTACCACTACTGCATATATAAGTGTTCTTTATTCAGCACCAAATATACATTCTTAATGACAGCTTATACCTGGCAGTCATCCACCTTGGTCCTCATCACTCCTTTCATGTATTCTTTGTCCATGGTGGGAGAGACACCAAAACTATTCCCCATACACAGTATTTCCGCTTTTCCGTCAGGATAAGTCACTTCCACAGAACCGTTCAGAATCACTGACCAGGAGTCCAGCTGGCTCAAACAGGGAAGACAGAGCAGAAAACACCGTCATGACCGTGAAGCAAAAAGTGCTAGGACAGTCCCTACAGATTATTTAGAGCTTGCATTTCAAAGAGGGAACAAATGACCCAAGGCCAGTGGGCCGATCGCCAGGGTCCCAGGGCTTTCAGACACCTGCACGGGGCACCAGGCACTCCGCTCTCCTCGTGACTCAGGACAACACGAGGAAGAAATTCCTTCTGTTCCCCCCAAACACATGAAAACAAGATAGAATGATCGCCAATTGAGAGCATCATCTTGCTTTGACAAGAGGCATTCTATTCTGAACTTTTAAGTCACAAAGTCTGAAAAGTTCATGCCTCCCTATATTTCCATCCACATTATATAAAACACTGCAAGTACTGGGAGATAACACGAGGGATTTGGAATACTGGACCCAACGATGAGTGTATCGTAACTCTTGAACTATGCAAACTTGTTGCCGCCCATCGCTTCTAAAGGGGGAAGCCTGAGGGCTGGCTTTCCGTTCACGCGCTGTACGGGGGTCCCTACGGGGAAAGCCGCCCACACCTCTTCGCCGTCATTGAGCACGATGGTCCCCGCTCTCTCCACCACCGCGAACACCATCACCGCACACAGCTCCCGTCTCACCGACATGGTCATGTTGGCAAAAGCGGGCAGCTGGTGCATGAATTCCAAGAGTTGTTCTGAAAAGCAAGAGACGTGCATTAAAATTACAACTGTTTTAAAAAACAGGTGCCAGCGGAGAACACTCTAGGCTTGTTTCTTCTTAGAGGCCCTACGATCCTGCCTAGTCAGCCGTACAGTGAATTTGAGCATCTTTAGCACAAGCTGAATGCCCTGCAGTTATACGGACAATTCTGCCACGGTGGAGAGGGTGACGTTTCCAGGCCAACCCAGGAGCCCCAGGACACACTGTACCTCAAATTCTAATGGGAATGAAGAAATTCATAAACGTCAAGTGGGGAATCTCTATTGAAAGTGAGCTATGATGTTATCAAGGCTTAATAAGGGATGAAATGATGGGCGGAAATGAAACAGAGCTCTGAGAATTCTCCAAAAAGTCAGGAAGTCTGGTCCAGTGTCTTCTGGGCGACTAACTGGGTACCTGGAACAGACAGCAGGAACAGCCATCTGGACTCCCCTGGGACTTAGAAACCAGGCAATATTTTCTATGGAGCAGACAAATCTGGAAAAATTAAGCAATTATAAAATTTACAGCCTGACATGGTAAGTGCAAATGAAAATTGTTCTCTTATTTCTCATCCTGCAGATTGGCAAAAACAAGGTTTGACCATCGCCCGACTGGCGATGTGGTGGAGAAACGGCGTCTGCTCTGGTCCAGTTCCAGCAGCTGTTTGGATGGGTGACTTCAGTCTTCCCAAGCCCTGTGGTATCTATTCTTTTTTTTTTTTTGAGGGGGAGTCTTTAGGTCTGTCTGTCTATTTATTTATCCCTAGTTAGTTTTTTTTTTTTAACAGAGGTACTGAGGATTGAACCCACGACCTCAAGTACTCACATGCTCTATTACTGAGCCATACCCTCCCCTGCTGTGGTCTCTGTTCTTGATTTTCTCTATTGTTCGGGAGCTTTCCTACGTACTTCCTAAGTTCCTTCCCGACCCCTCACCATGGCTCTGTGCGATGCGTGGTTTCTTTCTCATTCCCCAGGGAGGAAACCGAGGCTGAAGGTCATCTAATTAGGAGGCAGCAGGGCCAGGATTCAGAACTGCCTGCCCCCAAAGCTCACGCTGGGCATTATGGGTGGTGGCCAGAGCACAGGGTGCGTGTCAGACAGCATCCAAACTTGTATTTCTTGGGGAAGGCTGATTCGTTTCCCCGAGGCATGCTTTTCTCATCTGTAAAAGCATCACACGATGCCCACCTTCACTGGGCAGCTCTGAAGATCAAATGCACTCCGTGTGGTAAAGTCCTTCTCGCAGAAGAAACGCTTGACAAATGAGAACTGCTGGCTGGTGCTGTCACTACTGTCCTATTCATGGTGTCATTCAAACTTCCGGCTAAAAATTCCAACTACGCTTTCTCTTGCCCCCACATAAGGAAACTGTCCCTATGCACGCTGCTTGTATCTGTGAGGATTTAGTGACAAATTTCATGTTAGTGGATATAGTTTGTTCCTTGCAAAAAAACAACGTATAATACAAAGATGTATTCTGTGAAAACATGACATTTCCACAAGGTCAGACTAGGTGGTTTTTGCTGGCCCAGCGTGGTAATGTCTGCTCTGGTGAGACCCTACGTCATCCCCCGTGTGTAAGACTCTCATTACCCGGGGTGGCTTTGGTAACCAGGAGGACAACAATGCTAAGTGGTACCCAGGGAGCGGGTCCAACAAGACAGAGTTCTTCAGCCTGACCTCGACTAGCGTGTCAGGAAATCAATTCGCTGCTGCAACCAGCATTTTTAAAAAGGAAGCAGCAAGAGAAAGTACATCACTTACAGGAAGGATTCGTTCTGGTTAGTGAAACTTTTATTTCTGGAATGAGCAGACGGGCTCGTGTCATGCCATAAAAATCTCTCTCTACCTGAGGGCAGCGATAAAGCAGTTTTGAAAGCCACTGCAGGAGACGCCCCAAACGGCTACACACGGGACGTGGGACTCGTTTCTTTACAGATGCCTGGCCTTTCTCTATGAAACAGAAAGGCCGATGGACACATCGTGGTCCTCGGACTGGGGCATCGATCGGTTCTGCTCTCACTGGCCTCAGTTTTCTTTCACCATCAGCCCCACCTCCACCATGAGGTATTAAAACACTAGGTACAAACCACACAGTTTGTTTTTTCCTCTCCTAGTAAGAGCTGAAGGTCCTTGGACAAGCAAAGATGTATGCTCGTAAGAAAGACATGAGAGCAGAAAAATAATTGTCAGAAATGTTTCCGGTTTAACATACTATTATGTTAAGACAATGATAAAAGTCAAATTACGGCCACAGATGACTGGAGAATATAAAGTATAAAATGTATTCACTATTACCGTGACCTGAAGGGCTCGCACAGACATCTGTCTTGCTTTTTGTCAGTCTCCTAATCCCTCAGTGGGTCATGAAATCAATTTGTGATATATGACTAGTGACTAACATTAAAGAAATACAACAGGATAGGTGATGTCTGTGCATCAAATAAGGATAAAGAACAAAGGACACAGAGGAGATGTGATAACAGTAAATCTACAAAATTCTCCAGCCTCGACTGAAAAACTAAAAATAATCAATTGCCTAACCAGACAGCATCCAAGGGTTTTTAAAAACTCTCAGAGATTCAAAACTGGTACCACTGGTTCTGTGATCACTTCTTTTCCATTTTTTTTTATCACACTGGAGGATTACAGCAATTTAAAAACTAAAGAATATCTATCACCAATCTTTAAAAAAAAAATAAACACAAAATAGAAGCATTTGACGGTAGGGGCTCAACATAACCCTGGTGAGGCCACAGGAGCGTGTGGAGTGGAAGCCGTGACACTCCGGGGCCAAGAGGCCAGAGGCTGGAGGGGAATGAGACAGTTCCCAGGACGTGCGGAGAGAAGGGGCCGCGACTGGGAAAACCAAGACTACCCTATGCTGTACTGCTTGGAAGACTCTGTTTGAGTAACACATGAATACGATTTGTCTTACTTCCATAGGGAACAAACATTCCTGTTTATGAAAAATATGACATTAAAAAAACCCTTTTTCTCTTGTCAATGTAACACAAAGAAAAGCCAAATAATCAACTTACAGACAACAGACGCTTTAGCCAATTCAGAAAACGATCTTACTTGCTTTGGTTTAATGTATGTAAGAAGTAATTAATACTGTGAAGATTTTTTTTTTTTTAGAAAATCTGTGGATTCTGTGTGTGTGAGGTATACTAAGCAGGAAAGAAAAAAGGAATCCTTTGAAAGGGGTCCAAGCAGTTCTCTACCTTAAAACAAAAATACTAAATTCATAACCATTCAGTAATTGAATACTTAGTCACAAGTTACCGAGCAAAAATAAATAATGCCCCTTTTCTCAAAGTATGGAAACAAAGGCACACCCAAGAATCTATGGGAACCCAAAAGGAAGTTTGTTAATTCCTGCAGTTTTAAAAATAGGATTAAAGAGGAGCAATTTCATTTAAACTAAACTTAAAACACACCACCCCATCGCTTGGGGAGGAAGGAGGTTCGGCAGGCAGGCACCTGGACAAAGCATCAATTCCACAGATGTTTGTCGTTCATACGAAAGGTGTCTGTATTAACCAAGTGCAGGAGGGTGAGTGAGACGTAACAAGAGAAACAGCAGACAAGGTAAATGTTCTCACATGTGGCTGTTCTGAGGAGACAGAACACGGGATCTCCCCCAGACCTCGTGTGGGCCAGGCAACATCATGAGGCCTTAGCTGTACTGACACCGATTCGCCGTTTTAAATAAAAGTATATTTGACAGGACTAAGCATCTGAATCATCACTGCTTACCAGTGAGCTGGCACTCAAGTGCAAGCAGTGCACTCAGAGATTTTATCAACAACCCCCACCCCCCAACACCAGCTTGGTATTCATTTGCAGGACTCAGCATAGCTCTTGCTTTCTAGAAATTCTGGGAGAGAAAACTTCTCAGATACGAAGGGAAAGCCTTAAATTTCCAGGAATGACATGCTACCTATTTTTTTAATGATCATAATTGTCTTCCGTAACTATACTAAAGTGAGCATATGCGAAAAGGATAACGACATCAAGCTGTTCATAAACAATGTTCAATCTAACTTTTAAAAGACCCTGTGAGCAAGGATTCTGGATTAAGAGGGCCAACTGAACACATTTCCGATGTCACTGTCTCTTTAAAAATTACAGTAAAAAGAGTTTTAAAAAGAAGTAGGCAGGGACAAAGAAGAGAGGGAAATACATTTCGGACAGTGGAGATCAGAGGAACATGTGGATTCAGACGCAAGAAGGCTCAACTCCGTGTCTTCGGGGGTAAAACAGAACCACTTCACTTCATGCTGCAAAATCCTTAAAAGACGTGTGAACTAACTACCAGCCCCTTCGTAACAAGGAGTGGAGGCAACGCAGAAGGACGTGGGCTAAAGTTGGGCGGGGAGGGACTCTGGTTATCTAATGCCCAAAGCCATACCGATTTATCAATTTCTTCCTAGCTTGGAGTTTTTTAAAAAAAATATGTGTCATGTGTATCTAATAAAAGGACATTAGGGGAAAAAAGCATAGTAATATCATTCATAACAGCTTAAGTAGAAATAAGCAAAATGTCCATCAGTCAGTTCATGGATAAGTAAAATGTGGTATAACTACATAATGAAATATTATTTGACTATAAAAATTAACAAAGTACAAAAAAGAAAAGAAAAGAAAGTCAGGGAAGTCAGGGGTGGGTATTTGAGAAGCAGTTCCATCCATCCCTCATTCCAACCGGAATCTAGGGGTTAGCCATTGGCGAAGGGATGCAGCATGCGTGTCTGCACTGGGGGAGGCCAGCCCCGCTTCTCCCTTCATTCAGGTCTGAGCTCCTAAAAAGGCATCACACCAACCCGTCCTTCCTCAGAAGGCCTCCTGGTCAGTGCCCTCCCGATCACACACCCCGAGTCCCCATCATAACCTTCAGACCTGCAGCGGGACAGGACCAGGACCTCCCCTGCTTCTTTCCCACTGAGCCACCAGGACCCAGAAACCCTGAGTCCAGAGACTGAATGGTTACAGCCCCGGAACAGTCATCTGTAAGTAGTCAGCGACGCCTACCAAGGGCGTCCATGGTGGCTTAGATCTCTAAGCCAAGGTTTGGGTTTTCATCTTTGACTCCCCCGTGTGCAGAGAGCTGAAGTGGCACAGGTGTCCCCTCACACAGAACGAGGTGTCTGGGCTCGCTCCAAGCACAAGCAACCGGTCGCCCACACATACTGATGCCCACAGGGTCCTGCACCTAACCCAGGAAATCCAGTTCCCCGAATTCCTCTCAAGTAGACATTGGCCCAGGGAGAGCTGTGGGGGGTGGCGGAGTGGACAGCCTGGCTCGGGCAGGGGTGGCTGAGATCTGGACCGGCTGTGGAAGCAAAGCTTTTACAGGACAATCTATCAGCTGCCTCTTGACCAGTGTTTACATGAAGAAGAACTTCCTAGTTCACTAGGAATGGTGCTCCCAAGAAAATTAAAAGAAGAACCATTGTTTGGAAGACGACTTTTATTTTATTTTTTGTCATAATGTAAGCAAGCAAAGGGCTCATGTGGAAGGGTTTTATTAAGCAGCTGTATTATTTGTAGACTCTTGAAGGTACTGATTGAGTAAAATGAATCTTTTTTTAAGTTTTTTCAACAAATGTCAAGGGAAGTTTTTAAATGAATGACCCCTTAAAGCCTACAAACCCGGGCTCTATGATATCAGATGACTTTCCCTCTGTGTATTTTTTTTTCCTTTTTAGAAAGCTGTATTAATATGCATTTACTCTGAATTGCTCTGGGATGCATTTTCGCATCCATACTTACCAATGTCGTCATCCGTCCTGTCAATGGGGTCCTTCTCCAGGCAGTCCCTCACAATGTCCCTGCTCATCAGTGGGTCTGAGGCCCTCTCGATGTCCTCTTCATCGTCATCGTCCTCAGAGTCCACGGCGGTCTCTGGCAACCCACTCAGGTCCATATCACCAGCCTCACTTTCCGTGGCCTGGAGACAGACCGAAAATTGATAGATTGATGGACAGAGAGAGACACACAGACAAATAAACAGACTGTGTCAAGTACACCTTTTGGACCCAAAAGAAAAACAAGTCTAGTGCAAAACATCAAACCCCTTACTATATTAATTTTTCCTTAACTACGTTACACATATTCAGTAGTAACAGATCTTTCTGCGCTAGGCACTACATAAAAGAATGATGGCAACAACATATAAGTGATTTTACCTCTTACTAAATTTTTAGTTAGGATTAATAATTCTCTCTCAATAATTTTGACTTCTTATCTGAGCTGTTTGAAACATAGCAAAATAAGAAAAAGGTAAGTCTTTGTTTTCACTCCATTTTTCAAAGAGAATGGCTTAAGCTAAGAGCTTAAGGGTGACAGCTAATTTGGAACAATTTCTTCCCCAGGAGAATAGGTGCAGATTTATTAATGCCAAGAAGACCGAACCACTTCTCTGTCATTAGATGGTCTGTATGAAAAAGTGAATCCCAAATCACAGGTAACTTGATAAATATGCAAACAGAACATTTAGCCTGATGATCACAATGTCTACTCTCCAACTATAAACCACCAAAAGTGTGAAGGACCCTACACTCCGAGCAGTGACGCAGTCTTTCTCCCCATTCATTCCTCAACATGGCTGATGGTGTCACCGGTCAAACTCCAAGTCGTCAAGGTACACCTGAATCTCTTCTCAGTCACCAGAGCCACACATTTCAAAACGGCGTCTCCTGTCGGGCTCTCTCAAGCCTGGAACAGCTATCCCCGTTGGTTATTCTGCAGCCTTTGTGATTATTATCTCAGCAATCGCACGCCTGTATCGCACTGGCCTTACTGGACATTGTGTGCCCAGCATTCATTAAGTGCTTAAGTGTAGTAAGAATGGGTATGATTAAATATCAACTATATTGATCTTAAACATCACAGACATGTTTTTCCAGATAAAATACTGACCTCTTAGGAAGACTTCATGATAAAACTATTAACTTTGTCGAAAACGTAACATTTACCAACTTCAAGTAGCTCATAGCTCATATGATCTTCAACGACAATAAACAAATCTATTTTTAAGAACAGGCAAACACTGATTAAAATAAATAAAACTGTAAATATAAAGTGTTGAACCTGACAGTAATAAGCCAACACCAAATACAACATGCCAGGAGCTGCTGT